AGATATCATGAATATATGGCATAAGTAAAAGTATGACAATAATAGTACAAAAGATAGGAAAGAAAAAGTGAAAATATACTGTTATAGGGCTCTGACACTATATAAAAAAGTAGTATTACATTGCTTGAATACAGACTGGAATTAAAGATGCATAATATAAATCACAGAGAAATAAGTATAACTTTTTAAAGAAGCAAAATAAATATGAGTAGTAAAGAGCAAATCAAGAAAAAATGAGCTAAAAAATAGAGACCATAAAGCAGATGGGTTAAATAGAAAGTAAGATGGCAGATTTACATCAATGATTACATTAAACATAAATGGTGTAAACAACTGAACTAAAAAGCCAGACTGTCAGGATGGATTTAAAAAGTGAGTTGTCTACAGCAAACCCACTTTAAATATAAAGGCATAAATTCAAAGTAAAAGGATGTATCATGCAAAACCTAATCAAAAGAAAGGTGTAGTGGGAATATTAATTTCAGATAAAGTAGACTGCAGAAGAAGAAATACAACTGAGATAAAGAGGAATATTATATAAGACAAAGGAGTAAATTCAAGAAGACATACAACCCTAAATATATATGCACCTAACAACAGAGGTCAAAATACATGAAGCAAAACTTGCTAGAACAAAAAGGAAAAATAAACATGCAATTATATTTGGAGACTTAAACTTTTCCTATGGTGATCAACAAGTAGGTAGAATCCCCATAAAGAAACAGACAACCTAATAAGCACCATCAATTAATTTGACATGACAATTATAGCATATTAAATATAAAATATTGAAATTAACATTTAATATGGAATAAAGAACTTATAGAATACTCTACCCAAAAGCACAATCCACAATATTTGGAAGTACACATAGAACATTTACCAAGTCTAACCATATTCTTCCATAAAAAATATTTCAAAGAGTTTAAAAGAAATTATATATTCTATATTACTCGCTTATAACAAAATTAAACATAAAAATCAATTACTGAAAGAACTAGGTAAAATCATCAAATATTTGGAATGTAAATAATATACTTCTATTCTAAATAACCCATAAGTCAAAGCAAAAGTCACATAAGAACTCAGAAAATCCTATATAATAAAAGCCTAATATGCAAATTGTCCTCTCAACCAAGAGTTCAACCGGGAGCTCAACTGCTCACTATGATGTGCGCTGACCACCAGGGGTGGTGCAGAACATGGCAGGCATAGGCAATGCGGTGCTGGCAGCAGGTGGCAGTGGAGGCACTCCCGGCCCCAATGGGCCTCAACAAGAGCGGGACGGTGGTGGGATGGTAGAGCAGGTGAGCGGGCGGCACCAGGACAAGGCAGATGCAAGCAGGGGCCCAACTGCCCTGCCGATCGCCCCACAGACGGCAACCAGCGGCAACGGCAGGGGGCGGGGCCGCTGCCCTGCTCCCAGGTGCTGAGGGAGCCGGACAGGGGGCCTGGCCCCAACCGATCACTCTGCAGAAAGCGACCAGCGGCCGGCAGGCCCTGATTGCCTGATCGGGGCCAGGCCCCCGGCTGGGATGGGGTACGGGGGTTGGGTGGCGGTGACCAACCTCCCACGGTACCTGGCCAGGGGGCTGTGACCTCTTGCCGGCTACCTGGGGGCAGGGGTGACGGGGACAGAGGTGCAGTGAGAATGCAAGGTGTCCACTGAGCTTGCTCTCACTCCCCCTACTATCCTCCCCCAGGATGCCAGGGCTCGCGTGCCAGGGAAGCCCCCGTACTCAGGTGCCGGGTGCCCGCGTGGAGCCTGTCACGCACCCACACGGCTTCTTCCGGGTGAGCCGGCTGCAGCCGCCAGGACTGCAGGGGCTCGTAGGGCTCCCCGTGGGTTCGCGCAGGAGCCAGTAGACAAGGCCAGCCGGGAGAGAGCGCACTGCTCACCCGGCTTCCATGTGGCACTGCTGGGCGACCCAGAGGCCCACGTTGCGCCCTGGCCTGCGGCGTCCGGCTGCACTCACTGCATCTCTACATGGGGACTCAGGCTCGTGACTCAGGTGGAGAGGGGCGCATGGGGGTCCGGGGGCCCAGTTGCTGCCCAGGGCCCAGAAGTCAGCTGGGACCTGCCCTTCCACGCTAGATGCTCACGTTTCAATCGCCGGCTAGGTCTAGGGACTGCACTGGTGCATGAATTTCATGCACCAGGCCTCTAGTATCAACATAGCAAAATTTATGAGAATATCTAAAGCAGTGCTGAGAAGGAAAAGAAGGTCAATGGCCTAAGCTTATACCTTAAGAAATTAGAATAGAGATTTAAACCCAAAGCATACAAAAAGAAATAGTAAAGAGCAGAAATCAATTAAATTAAAAATGTATTTTAAATAACAATAAAAATAAAAAAACTGGATCTTCGGAAAAACAAAACATTTTTGATAAACCAGAAAACCTACTAATAAAGACAAAAGCGAGGACACACTGTCAATATCAGTAATGTAAGAAAGGATATCACTACAGATGCTACAGACATTAAAAGGGCAATAAAGAAACATTATGGCAATGAATAGATGAAACAGGTACATTCCTTGAAAGATACCAACTATTAAAGCTCACACATAGTGAGTAAAGGTCACTCACATCGTCAAAGACTGGAAGCTTTCAAAAACAGATAACCCTAATCATCCTATACCTATTAAAGCAAATAAGTTTATCCTTTAAAACCATTAAAGAAAACTCTAGACCCAGATGGGTGGGTGGCTTGCAAACTCTAGTGAACATTTATGAAACAAGTATTAAGCCTATCCAAAATTTTTCAGAAAATACAAGAAGAAACACTATATAAGGCCAGCATCATTTTGATACCAAAAAATTATGAAAAAGCATCTTTCATAAAGATACAAAAAAGTATTCAACAAAATATTAGCAAATTAAATCCACTAATATATGAAAATGATAATACATCATGTCCAAGGGAGGTACACCTAGAAAATGCAAGGTTGATTCAACATTTGAAAACAAATCAATGTAATTCATCTTATTAACAGACCAAAGAAGATAAACCATATGATCACCTCAATAAATACAGCAAGAAAGTTTGAGCGAACTCAATGACCACTCATAATAAAAACTCAGCAATCTAGGAACAGAATGGGAACATCCTTAACTTGATAAAAGACCTATTACACTTACTGTAACTATATATAGTTGATTGGTTAAAGGCCCTTTATACTTAAAGAACAAAAGTTTTCCTCTTAACATCAGGAACAAGACAAAATATCTGCTCTCACCACTCGTTTAATATCATGCTGGAAATCCTAGCCAATGAAATAAGGGAGGAAAAAGAAAGTAGGTTGTACACACAAAGTGAAAACAAAGAAATAAAACTGTTCTTTATTTGCAAATGACATCATTATTTACATAGAAAAATGCCAAAGAAACAACAACAACAAAAAAAACCTTACTAGATTTAAGTGAATTTAGCAAAGTTGCCATATTCAAGATATACAAAAAACAACTGTATGTCTATATACTATCAATGAACAACTGCATACTAAATTTTAACTGGTATCAGAAGTAATGAAATACCTGGGTATAAATCTTAACAAAAATGAGATTTTTTTCAGTATACACCTGAATGCTGAAATTACAAAATGCTGATAAAAGAAATCAAGCAAGGTTTAAATAAATGAAGATATCCTGTGTTCATTAATTGGAAGACTCAATATTGAGATGTCAATTCTTAATTGGTGAATATATTCAAGACAATCTAAATGAAAATCTCCTCGGCACTTTTTGTAGAAATCCTATCACTTCTAAAAAAAATTATCGAAAAGCAAAAGAACTAAAATGGCCAAAATGACTTTGAAAAAGAATGAAGTTGGAGACTCATTATCTGATTTCAAGACTTATTAAACAATAACCATAACAATGTGGTACTTAAAGATTTTTTAATTTACAAGTTGAGTCTAAAGTTCTTCTGGAGAAGAAATGCATAAAAACAGTAATGAATAACTTTGGGGAAAAATGAGGAAGAAATGGTTATCAAAATTTAAAGTATGCATACTCTTTAACCCAGCAATTCCATTTCTAGGAATCCATGCTCCAGAAATAATCACATACTGACGGAGGAAGTTTTCTGAAGAGTTGACTCTGAAGGTAGAACTATAGGAAGGTGTAGAACAATCTTATATTCTCCAGTACTGTTTTTAAAATTTACAAAGATTTAAAGTTTGTAATTAAAAACATCAATACATTTAAAAGTTGGCTTTAAAGAAAGCATTTTGTGATAGCAAAAAGAAACTAATTTAAATGTCTTTCAGTAAGAGATATCGTTAAATAAATTCTAGCCTATTCGAACAATGAAATATCACTTAACCTTTAAAAAAAGTATTAGGGAGACCTATATGTAACAAGTAAAGATGTCCAAGATATATAATTAAGTAAAGAAAGCAAGTGATATATCAACGTGTTTGGTATACCATCCTCCCAAACAACTTTATGTGTATGCATATGTTTAAAAGTGCACTTAGAAAGATGAACGTAAATTGTTAACTCTCCACAGTAAAACGGGACTGAGGGATGAAACGTTCACATTTCACCTAGTCATTATTTTTCTATATTGCTGAATTTTACGTCGTTTGCATGTCTGCCGTTAATTTTAAAAACTAAAGGTATTGCATATAAAAAGACACGAGTTTCATAAGGCAATTGAAAACTGAAAAAAATAGCTCAAACGTTTATTTCTTTAATCTTCATGCTTATTTACACTCTTCAAATGGTCTGTAGTCTTCAGCAGAGGTGACTGCCATTTTAAAAAATTTAACTGATCCCAGAGTTCATGATAAAAAATGACAACATATTAGGCCTTTTGTGATAATCGTGAACTTCACAGAACCAGCAGATTCACAGCAGGGTCGATGAGCATGTCAATAAAAATAAAAACACGATATGTCTGGAGAGGGGCACCTCCTACACAGATTCTTCTTTCGCTGCCACAAAACTCTCTCCTCCCCTTTTCTTTAACTTGGTCTGAGAGGCTTTAAACTCACCATTTTGAATGTGCGCAAAATGATGTGCAGCAGCAATCTCTGGGAGGCCACAGCTGAGGCTGACTGCCAGAGCGGGCCCTGACCTGGCATCGTTAGGGGGAGAAGCACTGAGGAAATGGGGCTCCGATCGGGCCCAGCGCGACTGCGTGCCCGGGCCTCGGGTGAGCTCGGGAAAACGCACACACAGACAGCACAGCGAGGGCGACGGACGGTTCCTCGGGAGAGCGGGCCGCAGGCCTATGGCGTAAGATGCACCAGCTCTACGCGGGGAGACTGCAAGTGGGCAGAGAAGGCGGTGGGGGTGTCAGTGCGGGGAAACTCATTCAGTCGCCCGTGTGGGGAGAAAGGCAGCGGGGTCCTTGGCCGAGGCACCAAGGACAGCAGAAGAGGCCACGGGAAAAGCGGACGGTGGAGACCTCCGAGACCAACCGATGTCATCCGCCGGGACACGAGTGCGGTGCCGGGTCCCGGCTGGACCGGGCCCAGGAGGCGAGGAGGCCTCTAAACAGCTATCAACCCCACCCACCATGGCCGGCGCAGCGGACCAGAAATAGGCCCCGCTCCCTCTCGACAGAAATTAAGAGAGGAAGGAGGTAAAGGCAGCAATTTCCTCGCCCGACCCTCCTATAACCAACATCAGAACAAGCCAGATTTAAAAAAAAAAAAATCCCCTCACCGAACTGTGCAGCGGCTCCGGAGCGAGAACAGCGCTCGATCCTCCACCCGCCACCACCGCCTTCTTCTCCGCCTCCGACTCCTCCCCCGCCTAACGCGCAGTGGCAGGTGGCGGAGCCCAAAAAAGCAGGGGAGGCGGCGGCGAGTCCCGCCCCTCGCGCCGCAGTAGAGGCGGAGGAGGAGGGCACGCAAACCCCGCCCCCAAAACAGCACCGACCAATAGACTTAAAGGACTTCGAGTGGGGTTGGAAAATGCACGTATCCAATCGGAACCTCGGGAGTGGGCTCACGTCAATGGATGGGACGTGGCAGAAAAAGGGGAAAAGGACTTCAGGCGTCTCCGCACCCGGGTCCCCCCTTGCCGGTCTAGGGGACTGCTCAGATTGGCCGGAGAGAGGAAGGACGAGGCCACACTGTTTCCCAGCCCACGCCCGCGTCTGGGCCCGCCTCCTCTCCCTGCGGCACTGAGACGTTTGGGGCGGGGCGAGGCCCCGTCCTGGGCTGGCACTGCGCTGCCTTTTGTGGTTAGGGCTGGGAGAAGAGGGTGGGGTCTCCAGGAAAGGGAAGGGGGTGTGGGGAATTAGGGCAGGACTGGCGCAGCTCGGCTTTCAGAAATTTGTACAGCAGCCACCAAAATGGAGGCATTAAAAGTCAATCCTAATTCGACTGGGAACCTGATTAACAAGGTTAAGTCTCTTGGCATAACGTTCACTCCGTTGCAGTTCAGATAGGAGCGGTACAAGAAAAAAATAGACGGAGGAAGGGCACGTTTGCCCACGCAGAGGCCACGCCCATATACCCTGCAGTCTCCCTTGTTTCTGATTCTGTTGGATCAGGGACGGGTTATAGGAGAGGCCTGCGTTTCCTCTGTAGGGCCTTGGCCCGACCACAGCCATCCAGTTTGCATCTTGAGGCTGATAGGTTGTCATGCTGGGAAGAAACAGCTCCCATCACATGCAAGTAAAATAAACACGACAGCTGTAGTCCCTAAACACCTTGCTTAATTTAAACTCGGCCAACAGTTTAGTTAATCATGTCAATGATGCTAAATTGTTTCTTCGTTCCGCACGAGTCCTCTTTACATCCTGAACATGTCCGCTTCTCTAATTACAGTCCTGTTCTCTTCCCATCTTATTCCCAACCCCCACCACACCCTCCACACACAAGCCCAGCGTCCAGGATATATTTAGCGCACTTCCTCTACCAAGAATTAAGAGCCCTATTACTTGTGCTGTTCCTGGAAGCTGCACAAATCTCTTCCCAGTGAATCAAAACTATTCCTTTTTTTTTTTTTTGGTCTTGATGAAAACAAATTAGCCAAAATTTACTATAGAAATTTAAGTTCTGAGAATTTGCTAGACATATTGTGAAACCAAATCTAAATCTCAGTCTATCTCTGTAGTACATTTCTTACGAAGGAACCATTTATCGATATTTATCTGCTTTATATATGTTGCTCTAGAAACTGGCTCTTTTTACATCCCAATCTCTCCCTCTTGAAAAGAGAATTCACACTTTAATCACACTTCCCTAATCTCCCTTTAGGATATTGCATGTTGACCCAATTGGTTATACTAACCTGTTAGTTGGGGAAAGGTTTCCCAAATTTCAATCTTTTTTATACCATATCTGTGTATACTACTTGCAGTATTATTTATTATTTTCTTTAAATAAATGCATTTTTCCATTTCTTTAAGAGAAAAACTTTATAAAAGTATTATAAATGGAAAACCTCCATTAATTATCCTAAATTGAAAGTAAGTGTAAGTGAAAAGAAAACCATGTTTTTAAGTTCTAGCTAGAAACTATTGTCTACTGGAATCTCTGAGCCTAAGGGTAAGTTACCAAACATTAGACATATATTAAAGACCAAGCATGCAAATGGCATTTTTATCATGATGTAATCAAAAGGATAGTAAAATAGAACCAAAATAGGAATCACTTTCTCACCATGTGAGTCATTGTTTTTAAATTCTGAATGCATGTGCCAATTTAAGTCATCTAAGGCATCAGAACTGATCTCTGTTACTCTCTGGGCAATCTACATACCTCTCTAGGTTCAATTCCAATTTAAATATTGGGAAAGTAATAACATCTACCAATGAGTCATTGTATAGATTAAAGTAACCTAATCAATGTATAGCATACCATCCTTAGCATGTAGTAAGTACTAAATACATATTAGCTTATATGTTGAATTATGTGTATAGAGAGATAATATGTATTATTGACTTATATGTATTATTCTTGATTCTGAGGTGAGAAGAACTTCCTAAGGCAATGGGTTGAAGATATCACATTATGTAATGCAGTGGTTCTTAAAGAGTGATCCCCAGAACCACAGCCTCAGCATTACCTGGAAATGTTTTAAATATGCAAATTCTCAGTTATGTTCAACCTCAGGCCTGAATTGGAAACCCTAGGTGTGGGGCCCACCAATCTGTATTTTACCAAGCCTTCCAGTTGACGCTAATGCACATATTATAATATAATGTGTGCAATATATTAGGAGGAGGATTGGTCAAGGAGTGAGAGGGCCTGAGTTCTAACCATAGCTTTAGAGTGACATCAGCAAAAATGAAGGCATAAGGACCTCTGGAAATCATTTTCTTCACAAAGCAATGAGAAAACCGGCAAAATCATCAAAATCAACTTTTTCAGAATTCTGGAAATTAACCAAAGGCTTGCAGCAGTCTAGGAAGCATTTATGCAAGAAAACCAGCTGAATCTCAGAAAGAACAGTGAGCTTTGTGATGTTGTGACTTGCTCTAATCCAATTCCTTTGTCTCCAGTTCTGCTCTAGTATTGAAAAACAATAGCCCACAATTATGGTGAAAACCAGCAGCCTGGCAGCCACCAGATGAGGCAGAAATAAACTCTTTCAAGCCTAATTCCAAGAGAATAGTCATTATTTTACCTATCTAGGGAAAGATTTCACTTGTCAGATTGTCTTCACTTGATTTGATTCAGAGCCAACCCCAGTGCAAAAAGCATTTTCCCTAGAAGCATTTATCAAAAGTAATGAGAAGGAATTGATTAACTTTGCTGCTGCCCTAGACAATGCAAACAGTTGGGGCAATAATAGGTTAACCAAAAAGCTTGAATGAAAAAGCTGGATGATGTCTGCAGGAACTTTGAAAAGCTCCAACATATTCATGGGTATCCAGAAACCCACAAACATGACCAGGGCTGAGCTAAACTGTGCATTAACTCAGGAAAGACCAGAGAAGACCCTAAACATTTACCTTAGGCTGACCTTGAGAAGTTAAGGCTAAGAGAAGTTGGCAATTGCCTGGCTTAATGTTGAAGCCATGCCCCAACATACATACACACACACACACCCTCAACGAACACCGGGTGACATATTGGTTCCAAGAGTTTAATGAAATCTCTGTCTAATCATTAACTGGGCACTAAATAACCACGCAGAATCTTCCATGGCCACACATGAAGAACACAGACTTTATAGAAGTCCAAAAAGTCATTGAACAAATAAAAAAACAAGTATAACAAACAGCAATAACAAAACTCCCTGGACAGGAGGAAGAATCTGATTTCCAGAATTTTCACATCATATATTTTAAATGATTGGTTTTCAACAAACCAAAAGTTGGTTCTTCAAAAAGATGAACAAAATTGACAAATCTTTAAAGGTAAAAAAGAGAGAGGAGACTCAAATTCCTAAAATCAGTAATGAAAGAGAAGACATTACTACTAACCTTACAGAAATAAAACGTTATTATATGGGAAAACTGAGAACATTTGTATCCTAATAGGTTAGAATATCTAAACAAAATGAACAAATTTCTAGGAAGACACAAACCACAACAACAGACTCAAGAAGAAATAGAAAATCTAATTTTAGCCTCATCATTTATGCACTGAATGACCTTAGGTTAGTTATTTAATTTTTCAGAGCCTTAGTTTCATGAGATAGAAATAGAGATAATAAAATTATACCTTTGTGAAAACATTTCAGTGAGATGATAAATATAAATATAAATAGTTAAGCCACTGTAACAGATAAAACCCTCAAGTCTCAGTAGCATAATACATTATTTATTATTAAAAGCCCATTCAGCAGGATGGATGGGAAGCTCAGCTTCACCTTCAGGGGCCTGTACCTCCAATGCATGGCATTCACTATAAGACTGAGCGTCATTATCCAGCCAGTAGAATAGAGGAAGTAAAAGAATGTGAAAGATTTCTGAGGTTTTTAGTGACCTAACATGGAAAAGGCCTAGTGATTAATGATCATGATCTGCCAGCAGATCACCTTAATTTTAGGCTATGTTAGGACTAGCCTATTTCAGTTTTGTCTTTACTCTTAGGAAGTAGCTCTTATTTCTAGGGTGTGGTTCTAACTCTTAGAATGTCACCCTTCTGGGGTCTCAACTGAAAGCCAAGATATTTACCAAGGTCTCTCTCTCATATGGCAGGACTTAAATTCCTATCTTTGATATCCAGACCATATGCCTGCTGAAATCTCTACTCAGCTCTTCATAATCTCAGTTGCTGTTTTCTGCTGGGTTTCTTTTTTTTTTTTTTTAATAAATCTTTATTGCTCAGATTATTACAGTTGTTACTCTTTTCCCCCCCCCCCACACTCTCTTCCCCCCGAGAATTGTCAGTCCACTCCCTTTCTATGCCCCTGATTCTATTCTATTCACCAGTTTATTCTGTTCATCAGAATTTTTATTCCCTTGATTTTTAGATTCACTATTGTTGATAGATATGTATTTGTTGTCACTTTGTTGTTCATAATTTTTATCTTTACCTTTTTCTTCTTCTTCCTCTTCTTAGAGAAAACCCTTCAGCATTTCATATAATACTGGTTTAGCAGTGATGAACTCCTTTAGCTTTTTCTTATCTGTGAAGCTTTTTATCTGACCTTCAATTCTAAATGATAGCTTTGCTGGGTAGAGTAATCTTGGTTGTAGATTCTTGCTATTCATCACTTTGAATATTTCTTGCCACTCCCTTCTGGCCTGCATAGTTTCTGTTGAGAAATCAGCTAACAATCGTATGGGTACTCCCTTGTAGGTAACTAACTGTTTTTCTCTTGCTGCTTTTAAGATTCTCTCTTTGTCTTTGACCTGTTTGGCAATTCAAGAAAACCATCACTCCAGTTCCCAGATC